GAGCGACCTGCACGCCCAATGCGATGCAGATAGGTTTCAGACGTCTTTGGAAAGTCAAAATTGATGACAACATTAACGGACTGAATGTCAATACCACGTGTGAAGAGGTCGGAGGAAACGAGGTGACGAGTAGAGCCATTGCGGAACTCGTGGAAGACGCGATTACGATGCGATTGCTGCATCTTAGCGTGGATGTAAAAGCACGAGTAGCCGAGTTCGGTGATCTTTTTGGCGAGTAATTCCACACGGTTGACTGAGTTGCAAAAAATGACTGACTGATTAATCTCAAGCTTGGTGAATAGTGTATGTAGGCAATGCACCTTTTGTCTTTCCTCAACAAAAGCATAAAACTGGGTTATGCCTTTTAGCGTGAGATCATCCATGAGATTAATTTCGTAGGGATTGTGGATGAATTTTTCCTTGAAATTTTTCACCGTAACAGGGAACGTCGCTGAAAAGAGACAGATCTGGCGCTCGGGGGAGCAGTGGTGCACGAGTTTTTCCAGGAGGGGCTCAAACTCCGGCGAAAGCAGCTTGTCAGCTTCATCCATAATGACCGTATGGCAGCGACCCAATGCTGCGACGCCCTTCTCTGATAAGTCAAGAATGCGCCCTGGCGTGCCGACAAGTACGTGGACAGGCTTGTATAGACGCATAATGTCATCCTTCAGGGAGGTCCCACCAGTGGATACCATGCACTCAACTTTCATGTGTTTCCCAAGTTCACGGACTACAGCTGATGTTTGAAGTGCAAGTTCCCGAGTTGGGATTAGGATGAGCACTTGTATAAATTTTTTCGAGGGGTCTGTTTTCTCGAGGCAGGGAATAATGAACGCTGCAGTCTTGCCAGTCCCATTCTTAGCACGTGCGAGAACGTTTCGGTTCTGGAGTATAATCGGAATCGCTCTCTCCTGGACAGGCGAGGGTCGCTCAAACCCCTTCTCAAATATGCCCATCAAGAGCTCGCGCTTCAGAAAGTAGTCCTCAAATTCCTGCCCTCGCGTTAGAGTTACATCTTCAGTTTGGTATCGAGTGTCCTTAGTTGGTAGTTGCAAGTTGTCGCGCCACGTCTCATCATCATCTGCTGAAGGATGCATAGCGTGTGAG